AGTGTATCCAATAACCCTGACGCCATCGATAAAAAGGGGTGCCAAATGTATGTCCCCTTGACCTGAAAAACACGCTCTTACTGCCATGGGGCAAATCATGACGTCAATATCAGTGTGAAGAGAACCAAGACCGCAACCAGCACAGTAGCTATTACATAACAGCATCCGTGGGATTCCGTATCTCTCAACCGTACTTCCTGAAAAGATAAGCTTCATTTGCATTCCTGCTGCTTTTTCCAGCTGAACCTTGATATCATTCAGATAACATTGAGCTCCTTCTTTCAAGTGACGAAGTTCCTCTTCTGTCGGGATATTTTGTTCAACGCACAAAAGTATTTCTTCAAGAGATTTGGAACTTGTTCCAGTAAATATTAACTTTCTGTGACCACAAGAGACTGGGAAATAGATAGGCTGAAAGGGAAGAGCAAAACGTAGTGGCGTAGTGGTTTAACAAAGACAGCATAAATAGAAACCGTTTCGTGCATTACACTGTACGTTATAAAAATCCTTCGCACCGATTGCTCTAAAAGATGTTGGATAAGTGGCTTCCCACTAATAGAGGAACATTATCCAGTGATAAAGCGCGCTGCTATTGTTTTCCTTATTACTTGTCACTTATCATCCACAAGCTGATTTTACACTACTTAACAGTAAACAATCTTAAATAACTTTGAATGTCTATAAAAATACATCGGAGCCTGAATCAGTACTACTTTTAGCATTTATCTCCAACTAGTACCTGTGCCATTGTACAACGTGAGCTCACCTTTTTTGTTTGACAAACAAAACCACGTCACCTAAGTCGTTACTGCCCTTTTCAACAGTTCGCGCGAACTCCAGAACTTTATAGCCAGCTTACAAATGCGTTTTTCCGGCGCTGCCGTCAATCATAATTATGATCACGACCAATTCACAACGTACCCGGAAACGCAGAAAACCACAACATGGATCGAAATCCACCAATCACAAAACACAAACCATGAACTTTTGAACTCGCTGAAGAAAGTTTCTGTTTCCTGAGAGGTCTGCTAAGATGATTGTTAGGACTGAAGAGCGAAAGCGCTAGTTGGCTTTTGAACTTCAGAGTTCACGTGTTTTTGTGTGCTGTAACCGACAGGCGATCTTTGAATTCGCGAAGTACCTGTTTCAGTAGTATTGCAACTGCAGTTGAATCTAAGTACAAATTTAGCTCATACCATTTTCCGTCGTAACATCCATAAGGTGATGAACAGAAGGACTCCAACACCTAAGGCTACTCCTCCAGCGATACACTTTGAATCATCCTGTGCACAGCCTGCAACGAATCTGANAATGTCTATAAAAATACATCGGAGCCTGAATCAGTACTACTTTTAGCATTTATCTCCAACTAGTACCTGTGCCATTGTACAACGTGAGCTCACCTTTTTTGTTTGACAAACAAAACCACGTCACCTAAGTCGTTACTGCCCTTTTCAACAGTTCGCGCGAACTCCAGAACTTTATAGCCAGCTTACAAATGCGTTTTTCCGGCGCTGCCGTCAATCATAATTATGATCACGACCAATTCACAACGTACCCGGAAACGCAGAAAACCACAACATGGATCGAAATCCACCAATCACAAAACACAAACCATGAACTTTTGAACTCGCTGAAGAAAGTTTCTGTTTCCTGAGAGGTCTGCTAAGATGATTGTTAGGACTGAAGAGCGAAAGCGCTAGTTGGCTTTTGAACTTCAGAGTTCACGTGTTTTTGTGTGCTGTAACCGACAGGCGATCTTTGAATTCGCGAAGTACCTGTTTCAGTAGTATTGCAACTGCAGTTGAATCTAAGTACAAATTTAGCTCATACCATTTTCCGTCGTAACATCCATAAGGTGATGAACAGAAGGACTCCAACACCTAAGGCTACTCCTCCAGCGATACACTTTGAATCATCCTGTGCACAGCCTGCAACGAATCTGAAGATTACGGTAACCCGGTAAAACAAGGCAACAACGAGGCAAAGTGCGACGGCACCCTTTATCGTTTTAACAGCACCACAGCATACTTTCATGATCGCTGGAAAGAGGGGGAAAAAAGAAAAAATATTAGCCAGTACTAATAATAACAATAATAATAATAATTAAAGAAATTCTTCTTAATTGATTGTCTAAGCCGAACCGCCTTGTTTAGCAAGACATGCAGATAGACAAAGAATAATCTCTAATCATGTAATTTTATTCACACTAACACTGGAAAATGTGCTTGCCTTTGAGTACACATGCCTGTCAGTGGCCTATCTGGCGGGTATACTGCCCGGGGGTACTGCCATACATGTTAACCCTTTTCACTGCCAGGGTGTTTGATTGAGTTTTGTAAGGTGACTCTACCTTTTGAGTCTTATGGACGAAATCCTATGATGTGACCATTCAAATGAAAGATCTCTGCCTGTACTTTCACATGATGCTATTTGTTTGTTAAAATTTTAGAAATTTGGTCGAAATTTGCCTTTGGCCACATTTGGCAGTGAAAGGGTTAAGGGTCTGGTTTTTCATCCTGCTCTGGGTAGGGTATAGAATCAGAGAGGCTGGTCTAGAAAAAGGTATCATTTTTCGAAAAACTCAGTGGTCAATGGCTTGAAGATTCTAGTCTAGACTAGGGGAACCGGAAATTGACACTAAAAAAAATGAAATCGAAAAATCTGAATTTACCTGCAATTAATTCAGTCTGATAGCAAAGAAAGCGTCCACCCCAGCATGAAATGTCCCGAAAATAGCTACTCTAGGATGCGGAGAGATTTTGGGGGATAAGTCTAGTTTAGGGTAGCAAAATTCGGCCGAACTTACAAGGCCAGGTATAGGATTAGGATTCCGGGGCTCTTGTTCCGGGGGTCCCAGCGGCACATCCCTAGCCAACCATTCCTAAAATACCCCCTGGGGTACACTGTAGCTGGGCGTCACTGTTGAGCTTTCATAACCTCCACTGCAGACCTAGATTGGTCAATATGAAAATCTAAGCGGCATCAGCTGTTCAAAGCATTAACTGTTTATACTGGTCTATAGCACTTACTCGTTCGTTCTTCTACTGCATTTCAACTGATTCTTCGCTGTGGGTAGACCGAAAGCGAAATTCTACAATATATCCAAAAATACTACAATAAGGTTTTATCAAATTAAGCATAAAGTTCTTTATGACTTATGTCAACAGTAGGGCTGCTACTTAAATCCTACTAGACTTTCCTTAGTTACCTACAATTACATTTTCCAATGTTTTCCATGACTGCAGAGCTGGATTTGATTGCGAAGAGTACAAATTAGTAGCCGTAAGTCTTCAGGCGCAGACACTTCCTATCCCCTTACGCAAAGAGAACAAATCTCGAAAAAGGGGACTATGAACACCCTATAGCTAAAGCAAGTTACAATAAACGCGAGTACATACCTCCTAAATACACTCAGTACAGGTACAGACAACAATGTCTCGTGACTATCAGCAGATTTTTGGTCATATGACTATAAACATAACACCCTAAAATTCTCAAATTACTCAGTACGGTCTGCATCTAGCTAGCGATAGGCTAGGTTACGTTTGATCATCATCTATAAAGTACCTTTGAAACCACAGAGGCAACCCGAAACTCTGAAGTTAAGACTGTGGTGTTTATTTGAACACTTTGGTCTTCCACTCACTTCCTTGATCATTTACGCAAGATCACACATGACGTAACTGAATGCTCGTACAGCCGGGGATTCCCCTTTTGTTAGCAGAGAAGACCAGATTTTTCCGGCATGTGATAAAACATGAAATGGACTGGAGTGTTAACTGCCGACCTTTGACATTGCTAAGTATTCCCAGCAAAATATCAGAATCGTTCATAATTATGTGAATCTTAAGACCGATACTTGAGATGTGTTTTGCAACGGAACCAGTGGGGTTGCAGAAAGGGTCTATCATCTGAATCGTTGTTATTATACCTTACAGCGATGTGGAAGCTATCCATAGACAATGGCAAAGTATTAAGTGGAGCAATCTTTAATGATTTCAGAAAAGCCTTTGATTCCGTAGACCATAACATCCTAGGCTATGAGTTGCAAGCCTGTGGCATAACTGGTAGCCTTTGGGAGTGGTTACTAACGTCCTGCTAAGACATCGCTGCACTCATGTGCCGAACCTAATTGATGAAAGTACGACAAAAGAGCGGCGTCTGAATCAATTTGGTACGGCAGTTTTAGCTAGGTGTGGCAAAGGTGTTTGGTGCGGCAAAAGTTCTACAGAGTCTACTGGTTATAAGACGCATCCCGAAATCACAACAGAGTTAGAGCTATCAAGTAAACTTTTGTTGAAAAAATGCTGCGCTTTATAAGCCAAAAAATGCGGTATATATAGACTATCGGGAAGCTATTCTCCTGCTACTTTTGCCAAAATTCAAGGGCACCCAACAAGAATATAGTTCAAAACCACTTAAACATAACATTGTTGAACGTATTTTAGTATTTAAACGGTAGATATAGGCATATTTTTATCCCCTAAGAATTTTTCATCTGTTCGGATTTCCTAGCTGAAAGTCTAGTGATCCGAAAATTATAGGGATGAAAATTTTCCTTCTCGAAAATTTCAGCCAGGAAAAGGCTCCCGAAAATTCTAGGTGGCCTTTTTTAGGGTCAAAATCCGTTAAAAATGGGTAATTTTACCATTTTGTAGATGTTCGAAAATCCTAGGAGAGGTAGGCAAGCAAGAAGTTTTACAACAAATGCTACGAAAATTCTAGATCTCACATCATCTTCCGAACAGATATTTTCCCGAAAATTGCCGTCGGGTGCCCCTAAATGTCTCGTGACTATCAGCAGATTTTTGGTCATATGACTATAAACATAACACCCTAAAATTCTCAAAATACTCAGTACGGTCTGCATCTAGCTAGCGATAGGCTAGGTTACGTTTGATCATCATCATCTATAAAGTACCTTTGAAACCACAGAGGCAACCCGAAACTCTGAAGTTAAGACTGTGGTGTATATTTAAACACTTTGGTCTCCCACTCACTTCCTTGATCATTTATGCAAGATCACAAATGACGTAACTGAATGCTCGTACAGCCGGGGATTCCCCCTTTGTTAGCAGAGAAGACCAGATGTTTCCGGCATGTGATAAAACATGAAATGGACTGGAGTGTTAACTGCCGACCTTTGACATTGCTAAGTATTCCCAGCAAAATATCAGAATCGTTCATAATTATGTGAATCTTAAGACCGATACTTGCAAAGTATTAAGTGGAGCAATCTTTAATGATTTCAGAAAAGCCTTTGATTCCGTAGACCATAATATCCTAGGCTATGAGTTGCAAGCCTACGGCATAACTGGTAGCCTTTGGGATTGGTTACTAACGTCCTGCTAAGACATCGCTGCACTCATGTGCCGAACCTAATTGATGAAAGTACGACCAAAAGAGCGGCGTCTGAATCAGTTTGGTACGGCAGTTTTAGCTAGGTGTGGCAAAGGTGTTTGGTGCGGCAAAAGTTCGACAGAGTCTGCCGGTTATAAGACACATCCCGACATCACAACAGAGTTAGAGCTATCAAGCAAACTTTTGTTGAAAAAATGCTGCGCTTTATAAGCCAAAAAATGCGGTATATATAGACTATACTTCCTCATGAAACTTTCTCCATATCAGTGTCGGGAAGCTGTTCTCTTGCTACTTTGCCGAAATTCGAGGGCACCCAACAAGAATATAGTTCAAAACCACTTAAACATAACATTGTTGACCGTATTTTAGTATTTAAACGGTAGATATAGGCATATTTTTGTCCGCTAAGAATTTTTCATCTGTTCGGATTTCCTAGCTGAAAGTCTATAGTGATTCGAAAATTATGGGGATCAAAACTTACCTTTTCGGAAATTCCAGCCAGCAAAGGTTCCCGAAAATTCTAGGTGACCTTTTTACGGTAAAAATCCGTTAAAAATGGGCAATTATACCATTTTTGAGATGTTCGAAAATCCTTGGAAAGGCTGGCAAGCAAGAAATTATACAACAAATGTTCCGAAAATTCTAGATCTTAAATCGTCTCGCGAACAGATATTTTCCGAAAATTGACGCCGGGTGCCCCTGGAGATTGAACGATTTCATCTAAGAGCGGCTAAATTAATACATAGCTTCCCCAAGAATATTATGGATTGTGAAAAATAACAGCGTGTTCACTGGCAAAGTTTTGGGTATATTCAGTTATAAACAAAGATTAGCTATTGAGATGTCAGGCAAAACACATGCTAAATAGTTTGTCTCAACATGTAATTAATAAATTACGGACTCAAGAGGCAAAGTAAAGTTAATGGAAGTACCTAGAAAAAAAGACTTAGAATTAGGTAGTCCTAGGTAGAGACAGTCTTTTATTTAGGGGTCCTGTTGTCTCAAGATACGAGAGCCTGAGAATGTGACAACATTGCTACATTCACAAGAGTATGAACTGAACTCCTAGTGGGTCAAGTAATTCCTGGATTGTAAATCCTCTGTCTACCATAATTGAATCCCCTTTCTCCTAAAGTTCTGGGTGTAGTATACCACACCTGGAAACTATTTCCTTATCTGACAGCGATCCAGGAAACAGTTGACTCACAAAAGTTATAGCTCCAGAAGGACTGATGCCCACTAAAGCTTTGTATGTTACATAGTGCGTATAGTGTGAGTAAAGGGCACTCTGTGTAGTTAGGCTAGAAGGCACTTGTACAAAGATTTCTGTACAGTCAATGATACATCTTGTTGAGGGATAAGTGTCCTTAAAACATATTGGCATGGATGAAACAATCTGATCTTTAGAAGGCCATATGGGAATATTTCCCAAACAGAAGTACAAGTAATTTGACCAGGTGATCAAGTACCGTGAAATGGTTGATTTGCCAAGTCCAAATAACCACGCCAGATGTTTCTGTCCAAATCCACACCGTAACCACACCAAAAACATAAACAATTGTTCAATCACATCCAATTTAGGGCTCTCACCAGGCTTACTTACTTCAGTAAATTTACATTCATCAGGTTCATCTGACCCATTCTTTGAAGGCTCATAGTATTTCAAATTACTAGCATTCTCATCAGGATTTGAAAATTGAAAAAGAATGTCAAACTTAAGTGGATGAAAACCAGTGAATGACTTGAAAACGTCCTCTTGCTCTCTGATGTTCTTGGATGTAAACTGTCCTTTTTCCAGTTTTTGTATTTTGGCTTTCAGCTCACTGCAATCTTTTTCAACGTCACTTTTTTGTTTAATCAAAAGTGGCAATTTAACCTCCAACTTTTCCACGACTCTTCTCAAATAAGCGCAATTTTCACAGGCCACTGTCGATTATTGACACTAGGGTCGCGGTTCAAAGCAGATGATGTCGCAGTCCATAAATGTAACGTGAACGTCACGATATTGAGTTTCAATTTTCAATGTTTTCTGACTGGTGCACAGTCTTGACTGTATAATCTTATGCTATCTTTGGATATCTGGTAGGAATTGGTTCCGTAGCCTTCTCTCTCCAGAAGTTTAGGCTTCCTTATACAAGCGTTTACCGAGGCAAAATCCGGGCAAAACTAGTGTTACGCTGGGAAAGCTGTGACAGAGCTTCTATGAACAAACACTTCAGACGCGTAGTCATCCGGTGAGTCGTAATGGGGATTGGGAGGTTTTAATAATAATAATAATAATATTTAATACTTATATTGCGCTTTTTCTATAAAAATACTCAAAAGCGCATTACAATACTATTAAATTATTATTATTATTATTATTAAAAAACCAGTAAAATTAATACTATGACCAGATATCCAAAGATAGCATAAGATTATACAGTCAAAACTGTGCACCAAATTTCGAAAATAGCCCATAAAATCACACTTTTTGACCGTCCAGGACTAAACTACTCACAAATGGCGAAGTTTTAGGGCTACGACCAGCGCTCAAGTATTAATAGAAAAACCCTTTCTAACTTCACACTTAAATCGAGTTATGAGGAGATTATTTATCGCTCTAACTTTTAAATCTTTAGATGAAATCCTATTTTTCTATCACACAAAAATGAAACCCCTTTAATGAGCTTTAACAGAGGAGTGAAAAAAAAGCCGTCTCGTGGCGATCAGGCCGGATGAACGAGCCAACCTCAGCAACATTATTCCCTAAGTTATGTGGAACTGAGGCTAAGAAAGATTCACAGTCGACAAAAATTTAATTTGAAAAATTAACGAACCAGGGCTACCTTTATAGTATGAGTATGTACGTACTAATATAGCGGAAAGCCTTCTTCAAGCCCAAGACTCTGTTAGTGAAATGTATGCATGTATAGCTTGTAAACCGGTCAGTGTAAAACGCAGACTGCGGACCAGGGGTAAAATGCAGACTGCAGAGTAAGAGTAAAACGCAGGTTGGGGTAAAATGCAGACCGAGCATAAACTGTAGTCGCGGAAGGGTTTAAGGGCAAAACAATCCCGAAAATACATGTAAACAACACCACTTACACTTACTTGACATCTCCTTTCACAAATCCATTCCTTCCTCGCTCTGGAACGTCGCCGACGCCGCGAAAACATACTAGTAATCGCAATCTTTAACCTTTTTTCCGTTCGTGAGAACTCACGCTTCAACTTTCGATACAGGTGACCGTGAATTGGTACAACACAACGATGTTTACGCTCACAAGGGTTTGCTCACGACATTTCAGGGAAGGCGATATAAAAAAATCCCTTGCTGGGAAAAATGAACTAAAAGACGGAGTTGTTCCCTCTGTTTTTCCGTGGATTCGAACATCGCCACGTAAAAGAAAGGAGCCGATGGAAAGACACTTTGAAGAGACCGCTTCGAAAAGTGCATCAAGGAAATTGTCTTCTTCAGTTGTCTTGGAAGAATTATCAAATGAAATGGTACCAGATGTATCGGATTTAAGCTCACAATTTGAAAACGTAGAAACACAAACTGATTTGACCGAGCACGAAGCCTACTTGACGGAAATCATTGACAACAATAACAAAAGGATTTATGAGCTAGAACAAGAAATCGATGAACTTAAGCGTCAGTTGCAAGATACCCAGCGGCGGAATGATGCCCTTAATAAGAGACTGTTTACCTTTGAAAACTTAAAGTCAAAAGATTCCAATGCTGCTTTTTATTCCGGCTTCCAAACCTGGGATGCTTTTATGGCTGTTTTTGAGTACCTTGATCCAGGGGAGCGAGGTGAGAACATTTCCTTCTGGCGGTCTTCCACTGACGTCACATCTGATTATAGCGAGGACCAAACGGATGAATTACTAACGAAAAAGGGGAGAGCTCGATCTTTAAAGCCCCTTGACGAATTTTTTATGGTGATGTGTAGGCTGAGGCAAGGATTTCCTGAAGATCATTTAGCTAACTTATTCAATGTATCAACACCCACAGTGAGTAGAATATTTATCACATGGGTCAATTTTATGTACTTTAAGTTTGGACAAATAAGCATTTGGCCTAGCAGAGAAATAATCAACACAACAATGCCTGAAAGTTTTAAAAGCAAGTACAAGTCGACAAGAGTCATAATTGACTGTACTGAGATCAGATGCCAAATGCCAAGTAGCTTACAACTGAATGGAGAACTTTTCAGTTCCTATAAGAATCACACAACATTGAAGGGCTTGGTTGGTATATCTCCTGGGGGAGCAATCACATTTATTAGCCAACTTTACACCGGTTCAATCTCGGATCGAGAAATTGTACGAAGGAGTGGTTTTTTAGAGCTTCCATTTGACGATAAAGACTCAATTATGGCAGATAAAGGATTCACAATTCAGGATTTGTTGCCTTTGGGAGTTACTTTAAACTTGCCACCTTTTCTTGGAGCATCTGCACAGATGGCTGCAGAGGATGTGGTAGCCACCCAGGAAATCGCTAGTTTAAGAATTCATGTTGAGCGTGCCATAAACAAGATAAAAAACTTTCACATCTGGGATAGAGTTGTTCCATTACATCAGATGGGAATTGTAAACCAGATGTGGGCAGTATGTGCATTCTGTTGCAATGCACAGCCCAACATCATATCCATATGACTTTCCCATGTATTTGAAAAATTAACAATTCTAATTGAAAATCTATTGTTACAAACACAACAGCTCCCTTAAAATTCAATGTCGCTTTGAAAAACTCAGTTACGGTGTAGATATTTGAAATCCAAGACTAGGATAAATGCTGCATTAATGTTTAAGAGTGCTTGTTGTGTGGTGATAAGGTGAGGGTGGGGTTTTTTAAAACGTAACACAACAGTTATACATATGTATGATGAGTTTTAAATTTATCCTTGTTTTAAATTTTATCTTCCTACAGTTCTTGGTTTGAGTGAGTTTCAAAAAAATGGAAAATAATATTTAAATTAAGGATAAAATCAAATCACAACATACACAATCCTCTTTCAGTCTCTCTATGTGTTGAGTGGGTACAAAGATAAAAAAGACAATACTTTTTTTTGCTGATCTGACTATTTATTACAAGGTTACATTAAAAATATTGTATTTGAGGTCTGACTATGGTATCTATCACTACCCCTTGAATTCTCAAACAGTTATCACTATTTACTTTCTTCATGTAAAATATCAAATGCACACTCAACAACTGTAAGAGTAAGAAATGTGTCTCTTCAGCTGGATTTAGAAACTTGGCATAATTTCTTTTATAGGAAACATACATAGTCATTGGGACAAATATTTTTGCTGTGTTATTGAGAATTGAAGGGTTAACCTGATGTAGCTGTGCACAATACTTCACAATCACTGTTGTTGTTTACTTGACAACTCCCCTGGAAAAACTTTGCAGATGCAAAGGTAATGAAGTGATCAAAATAATAAGAAAGCAGTTTTTGTTCTAATCCAGCCCAAAACACAGGGTCAAAAGGTATACGTTGGACATAAATACCCTTACTGGTATACACAATAAAGTCACACCACTTTGCTCCAGTAACAGCCATTTGTCCTTGCACTTGAGCATAGTAAGGGTGGTCCTCTTTCAGTTTGCACTCCCTGTCACCTGTCTGTTTCATGAAGAACTTTTCATCCGTACAAGCATCAAGGGGCGTGACATGATGTTTTGTGTAGGGGCATTTCACTTCAGCTATGCCAAAGTAATCTGTGCAGCCGAAGTCGACTACTCTTGCATCAGGAGTAGCTCCGAGAATGGGACACCCCTTTGAAACAACAAGACCACAAGGGAGCACCTTAACAGGTGTACTTTTGTTAAACATATACTTTTCATACTCCCTTAATGCAACAGATTCAAACTTTTTTCCATGTTCTAACTGTTTTGAAGTAACCAATTTTGGATTGATCAATTGTTCTGCAAAAGTGTCATGATTTCTCTGTCGTCTAGAAATCAAGTGAAATTGAGAGGCAGTGAACCTGAATTTTCGCTCATCTTTCCATTTAGTACATTCAGCTTGTTTCCTTGTTTGTGTTTCAAGGTCATTGAGTTCATTTTCCTCTAACTTCAAAGATTGTATAAGTTTGTTGTCATTCTCACTCAAATTGTCAGGTAGTGCCATTTCATTAATATCCCTTAGAGGAAACCTTGGATAAGTGAGGGCTTGATTTTTAGTTACTTGGCTAAGTCTTGGTACACAGTCAATGGATGCTGTGGCCTCAAAGTGTGCCTCTGTCAGGGAAACTTGGTATGACAAGAAACAACCAACTTGACATTTGCCAAATTTTGTTTCTACAAGTCTAGTATGCGTCTGATCAATCTGTTCACTAGCCATTTGAGACAGGCCCATATTAGGGTCAATTTGTTTCAGCTGCTCCTTTAGTTTCTGCTCTGCAGCTACATTATGTGTGGTTTTCATCCTGGCATCATATACAAGAGATTTGATGCCAGAACGTAATCTGAATTCTTCATCCTTTGTTTTTGTAACTTCCACTTCCATCACTGGCTGTGGTGCAATGTTCTTTCCTCCGCCCTTCTTGTGCCACTGCTGCAGTTGTGATGTACAGGCCAAGGAGGATTGCTGGTCCTGTTCCTCCATCAGGTCCTTGGTAGAATTACAGGAAAATAACGTAAACTTGCACATCTTGAACATCAATGCCAACACATGGTTACAGAATCCGCTTTTTCCTGCCACACACGAACACGAAGCACTCTCCACTTCTCCTGACAAGATGCACAAGGCGATTTTCAGATTATGTGGGGGGTCATTTTTTCGAAAACTATGACAGCACTTCCCTTTGAAGAAGAAGTACTTCGAATCACTGGCACATTCAATATCTTCCAGATATTCGTCATCTAAGAAGCGCCTGGCCTTTACCAACCCCGTCGGGACGGTGTGATGATCAATATTACCAATGGTTTTCCCGGACTTCAACACGTGGTGATTCATTTGCAGTCGCGTGAACATTGGCATCTTCTCCAACGACGTTCCCCATCCAGTAGTTGGAAACTCTGCAGCCGCTGTACTTTCCTTGACAAGCTCTGAACTTGTGCCTTGCTTTTGCTTTCTACGGCTATATATTTTATGTGGATCTGGATCTATGATCTGTTTGTCCTTGCCGCTTCGTATGTACTCGTACACTCGTTTCACTAGCTCCGCTTTTGTCTTCAAACCTTTCCCTGTGTCTCCGCGACATTTCAGCCAGACTTTAAGTTCTGAGTTTTTCAACTCCTCAGGTTTTCGTCCAAGTAGAGAAGCGCCGGGAATATCGTTTTCCGTAAGAGGAATCGCATTTGAATCGCTTGAATTGTCCGATGTACTCGCCATTTTCGGTGCTTGTTGCCGTGCTTGTGTTGTAAACAACAAGAGAAGCGACGCGACGCTGGCCTTTCTGGCCTCGTTTTCACGCCGCTCGAACCAGGTTTCGCGCGGGGTCCGCCATTATGAAAGTCGTGTATTACAGTACCTTAACACCTTTACATAAACAAATTGTTGGTTCGAAAGGGTTCTTCGTTTTGCGAGAGAGGACGCTTGAATTTCCAGGCTTTAGCGTGAGGCGGCATTTAGCTGGCGGCCGGGAAAGCTCTGTGGGTTAAAATCATTACCGATCTTGGGAGATTTTGCAATTTAAATATTCAGGACGTAACATGTCGATCGAAATCGATCATCGGAAAGCTAGTCGATAAGTCGATAGTGCTTGATAATTGTCGATAATTGTCGATTGATTAGTTTAATTTGTCGATAAAAGTCGATAATCACAAAGTTCTCAGGGCTGGCTATCGATTTGTATCGACTTTTATCGATTTCTATCGACATTAACATGTCAAGGAACGGAGATACTTTGTATAAGCATCGGAAGTGTAAAAAGTTGTACGGCGCTGATGATGGCAATAAAGTTGAATAAAGTTGCATTAAAACCTGAAAAAAGCAGATGTTATCTTGTTCAATCCGCAACCGAATGTTTACCTCAAGAAATCTGAAGAAATGCGCTTTGGTTTGCACCACTCGCGTTCAACACTTGCTTCTGTCGCTTCGCAATTTTTTCCGGTCCTGCGCCGCGATTGTTTTGGTCAGCACCGGTACACAGCTTATTTATATATCTTTGAAAGGGCCCTGAGATGGCGGGAAAATGCTACGATATATAAAGAACAAATGCAGACAAAGTACTCAGATGTAATTAACTTTTATTCAATTGTTGATAAGCGTAGGGGTTCGGAAAGAGTGCAGCGTGATGACGAGGAGCAAATGGCGTACATCTGCCGGTACTTTTGTGTTCGACCTCTAAATAATTTCAGTGATAAGTTGGGGTGAGTTGTTTCATATTGGAGTTTTTACCGGGAAGATAACAGAGGCTACTAAGAATAATAAATTCGCTTTGTTGTGGCTCTCTACTCAGCTCTAGTTACAGTGCAAAATAAAATATTGAAACATACATAGCTCTACATATGATCGTTTTTTATCTTTCGATACTTTTCGATAAAAGTCGATTGAAATCGAACTCTAACACCAAAAGTCGATCAAAATCGATAATCACANAGCATCGGAAGTGTAAAAAGTTGTACGGCGCTGATGATGGCAATAAAGTTGAATAAAGTTGCATTAAAACCTGAAAAAAGCAGATGTTATCTTGTTCAATCCGCAACCGAATGTTTACCTCAAGAAATCTGAAGAAATGCGCTTTGGTTTGCACCACTCGCGTTCAACACTTGCTTCTGTCGCTTCGCAATTTTTTCCGGTCCTGCGCCGCGATTGTTTTGGTCAGCACCGGTACACAGCTTATTTATATATCTTTGAAAGGGCCCTGAGATGGCGGGAAAATGCTACGATATATAAAGAACAAATGCAGACAAAGTACTCAGATGTAATTAACTTTTATTCAATTGTTGATAAGCGTAGGGGTTCGGAAAGAGTGCAGCGTGATGACGAGGAGCAAATGGCGTACATCTGCCGGTACTTTTGTGTTCGACCTCTAAATAATTTCAGTGATAAGTTGGGGTGAGTTGTTTCATATTGGAGTTTTTACCGGGAAGATAACAGAGGCTACTAAGAATAATAAATTCGCTTTGTTGTGGCTCTCTACTCAGCTCTAGTTACAGTGCAAAATAAAATATTGAAACATACATAGCTCTACATATGATCGTTTTTTATCTTTCGATACTTTTCGATAAAAGTCGATTGAAATCGAACTCTAACACCAAAAGTCGATCAAAATCGATAATCACACGAAATTTTGTGATCGACCTTTATCGATTTCCGATATTTGTCGATTAATTAGTATCGACGTTAATCGACAACGATCGATTTTTATCGACTATCGGAATTATCGACATGTTACGTCCTGAAATATTCCTAGTCTCAGAATAAATATTACTGTAATCGTTATGAGTTCCTCAAGGGAAAAATTCACGCATTAGTAGGAAAACTCAAAAACAGATGTTTCTGTTGGTATCCGGCGGCCATAAGGCACATCAACACCGCGTTTCTATACAAAGCTTTATAAATTTAGGTAAACCGTTTTTCCCAATTTCTCGCATTTGCAATATTTCACAGACCTGATTCTTGGCAAGGGTTTTTCTATATTTATCTTTTTTCATTTCCCAGATTCTAGTCTTTATGTATTGAATGGTTTGCGTTTTTATTTTTCATTGCGTGACAACGCAAGCCGAGAGTAGGGTTCGTGACACGACATGCGACGACAAAGCTGAAATTGTAAGCTCTATTTCTATTCACTTCCTTTATACTGTTGAATATGAATTGTTGTAAAAAGTCATGGCCTAAAAGGCTAAGTACATGTACTGTGAGAGACAGTAACTAAGTTTTAAAACAAATTTAACGAGTGCAAATTTCTGAAATTGTATTTTATGTTCAGTTTAATGAAGGTTATTTAGATAGTGATGTGAGCTGATTTTCTGGTCAGTTCAAACAGTGATTAATTCGGGTTGCTAAATAAATAAATAAATGCTTAATGAATTTCCTCTTAAGTCACACTTCGCGCTTGTCTTGTGCCAAATTAATTCATTAACTTAAAGCCGACATAATTCATTCGGATCAATCTGAAGTGTGTCTCATTTCTCAGGGGGGCATACTTAAGTTTAGGACAAATAGAATCCAAATCACCATTACATGGCTAAGGAGATGTTGTGATGGTTTTAGCAAAGTAGCATGTTGAAAATAATTTTTGTAAGAATATTTTATGAACACAGGAGTTGAGGCAAGAAGTTCAATTAAAGCTAAAGGTGGAATGAAGTCACGCATCCTACAAAAAAAGCAATGGACTTCCAGCAGGACGCTTTAAGAGGTATAAATTTATAGCTGGTAATATGACCTAGGTTTGAGTGCCCCAGTTGCCATTTAACCATCGTAAGTACACGCAAATTCATACCCCAACTTTAGTACAAGGGTTGGGGGGAGGGGGGGGGGGGGGTTGGGGGACCCCCCCCCAAACATTTTTTATTTTTTTTTTGTTTTTTTATGAAAAATTTTTACCTTCGGGGGTTGGCTTTTGTTTTTTAAATAAAAAGAGAGTGGAACGAAGCGAACAAAAAAAAAAAAAAAACAATGTTGGCACGGCGGAGAGGTGTTTAAGAATAAAATATTGTTGGTGGGTGGTGGCGCCGTTTGGGGTGCCCCCCTCTTCCTTTTTCACCCCATGGCGACAACCAAATCCCACCCCCACAGATGTGGTGGGGGGGGGGGGGGGGGGGGGGGGGGTGGTTGACGGAACCCCTCCCCAAAGTTTTTTTCATTATATTTGCAGTTTTTCGAAGCAATTTTGCCTTCAGTGGAATGCCTTTGATCTTCTCAACGAGATGAGGTATACTTTGTTGGTCATCTTGGCCGCGAATAAGAAATCAGATTAAAATGGCATGGCAATGAATTGTAATATTTTTGTGTTTGACATGTAAAATAACACATAAATAAGCACTTTGTATGTCATTTCATCCACAATTTCTACTTTTATTGTGGAAAAAAGGTGAAAAAAAAACTATCACCAAACTTGTCTCGCAAGGGATAAACGAACAGCTACTAAAAACTGAGCTGATGTTTCATCGTCTACGAAAAAAATTTAAAAAAAAGCAGAGGGGGTTGGCAACCATCCCCGCCGCCTTGTACGTCTGAGGGTTAATAGATGAGTGCATAAATTTATGTGCGTTTATTTAGTTTTGACCCATTATTGTTCCGCTAAGCAAGTTTTTGCCGCAAAAAGTGAACGCGATGTTGAAAGAGTTCAAAGCATGGAGGCAAAAGAAATTGCAGTCAAAACGTCAAAACGTCAGAAGCCGGTCCGGTGAATAATATGAACAATTCAGGGACATTAATACCTGTCGTTTTAACGGACTGTTGTCATACTAAGCAGCTCGAAATTAGGAATGACTAATATCATTTAACTGGCCATTTTCGAGTTGCGGAGCCATTGTTATGGAAATGATTTCGTTTTATTCTCATGCAAACAATTAAGCTCATTTTCAGAACAAAGTGGAAGGGTTTGAAACTCGGAAATGGCCCAGAGAGAAAGATGTTTTTTCAGTCACTGACAAAGGTGGCTTAGAAGAAAAAATCCGAGTACTGCCAACAGGAGTCGAACCTGTGACCTTCTGGTCCCGGTTGATCAAAAGATGGATACCGCTATCCATCGTATAAAAAAAGTATAAGGGAAACCAATTGCGTTATCCAGTGGATAGTGATTTATCTAGTGGATAGCCATCCTCGGAGACCCAGGGGCAGATAGTGGGGGCGAGGGAAAGTCTAAACGGGCGGAAAAATATGGCACGAAGAAAAGTAAAGAACGGTGAGAAGAGCCCCTGGGGACAATGTCTTACCAGACCAGTTCCAAACGGTCGCCCACACTATCTGCCCCTGGGTCTCCGAGGATGGTGGATAGCGCTCTGGCGCCTGGTTATTAGTCCACATGCTGTTCACTGAGCTACAGGAGATTCGTGGGAGTCACTATTCATTTTGCTGGAACTTACATATATCTCGAGCACACAAACGTTTAGAAAACAGACGACATTTCGCGACGCCATCAACGGTTTCCCCGCGAAATGACGTCTGAGAAAAGAGCGCAGAAACTCCATACTGATGACACGTTATCTGGGTAGTGCTTCTGATTGGCTGAGGCAAATTTCACAAAGCGGCACGACCAATCAGAAGCAGCACCCAGATCTGGGTAGTGATGCTTCATGAGTATGAAATTTCTTCACTTGTTTCTCAGACGTCTTTTCGCGAGGAAACCGTACTTTTGTAAATGTAGTCTGGTAAAACCGTTTATTATCTTACATTTTTACCAAACGTTTGCGGTGTAGTTGCTGTCTCTGTGATAAGTAGTATTTTGCCGATTTAAGAAAGCTTTATATTTTGAGATATTAATCCTGTTTATTTCTCTTGCCTCATTTAACCACAACGACGATTTTATGAAAGGGATTGGTTTCTAAAGCAATGTGGCATAGTATCAGTGGAGGAGTGCAACGCAAAACTTGGCTTTATCAGTGGCCGTATTTATACTAGAAGACGCGCCCGTCTTAAACGTCTGAGTGTTAAGTGCGTCGTTAAGTGCGTCCCGTTTTATACTAGACGTCTTAAACGTCTGAGAAGACTAATTCATCTGTTAAGGGCATCGATCGGACGCACTTAACTTCAGACGTTTTATTCGTCTGACGTTTAATGCGTCTGCCTTATTTCCGGCATTTATACCAGACATCTAAGTCGTCTAAGACGTCTCCAACGTCTCAGACGTCTTAGACGTCCTCTAGTATAAATACGGCTAATGATATGAGTTCGTAAAAAAATTGGTCATCGGACAGAGTCAGGAGTAGCTGACCGTTATAGCGGTATGATTTTAATCTGATTTAGTTGGGCATTGTTAGACATACTCAGAAGCATTGTTTTCGTTGTAGAAAAAGCAGACGATTTCAATAATGCAGGCAATGATGCATACAGAAAGAAAGATTTTGCCACAGCCATTTTCCTCTACACGGAAGGAATAAAAGTTGAATGCAAGGATAAAGAACTTGTGTCCAAGCTGTACAACAACAGATCGACGATATACTTCTATCGAGGTAAATGTTTAAAGATAAACAATACACTGGTAGATCCATGCACCCTCATCCTTTTTACCCTCATCCTTTTAAGCAAGACATTCTGAAAGAAACCTCGGGTTGCCACTTTCTTTTGATCATCGTAAAGGACATATTCAAGCAATATTTTGTAAATTGTTTTTCTCACCTTTTTCTAAAAAGGAAATGAAGAGATCTTACCAATTCTGGGTTTTCAAAACAAGAAGTTTTCAGTTAGCCCCTCCCACAACTTGGCGACGCGTGCGGGGAAAAATTTAATAAGGGCCACTATGGGGAGTTAATACGGTAAAGGCAATGTAAGCGTTGTGTTGGATTTAAGGACACTCTGGCCGAATGCCGTGTTTAAATAGACGCTGGCTATCCGTTTAGCAATTTAACTGCATTAACAAATTTTATGTATATAAATGTGTATGGTAATCCACTCTTCCTAATTATAAGTATCATTTCTTAAGAATATCGGTATAAAAGATTCAATCTTTTTCAGGAAATTACCATGATTGTCTAAGTGACGTAAAAGCTGCAACAACACTACAACCGTCTTATCTCAAGGCGATTATTAGAGGTAAAAATGACTACGTAAATGTGAAAATCCGAAACTTAATCTTACGTTGTCATTTTAAATGAGTCGAACTTTTTTTCAATAGGAGCGAACGCCTGTGTAAAGTTGAAGCAATTTGAAGAAGCCATCATCTGGTGTGAAAAGGGACTGGCCGTATCCTTTCTTAGAAGAACACAAATTTGACACTGCAATATTATTACTTCCTTTATTTCGAATGGGACAGTATACAATCTTCTCTAAATTGGCTTTAATAAATAAAGCCGGGTTGGTTTAAATACGTTACCTGTTGGAGAAAGGTTATTAGCAGCTTAAACAAAACGCAGTAGTGTATATGTACAATAAGGACTATTGTTATACAGTTGGAAATTTCTTCTCAACAGTGCGCGGTCTCACTGCTTACTTCGGGGTCTCATGAAAACTAACAATGAAACTGTTTCCCGCCAAAATCTCCAAGCGGGCAACATTGCAAAAAATCTATAGCGTCAGAGGGTAACAATGCAATTTTACCCGCGAATGTTGACCGATGACCGCTGCTGATGAATTTCCAGCTTCAAAATTTCCATCTATATAACAAATCACTTAAAGACTGGTCCCTCGGGAAAGTGTAATTTTTTTTCCCTCGTGACCAGTCATTAAGTGTTTATGATTACTCCTACTAATGCTGCTTAGACTGTCAGAACTACGATCTCTGTCGCCATTTAGGTTCTAAGCTTCGAACACAAATTTTTTTAAACATCTTTACACTTGTAAGATTGATCCAGACAAGCAGGATCTCTTAGAGATAAAGAGTCGCTCTTACAGAGAAAGCGAAACGCTTCCGACACTTGAAGGAGACAAAGCAGAAAAAGCACAGGGCGATCCACGAACCCAACCAAAACCTCTTGATTGCACATGTAAGTGAAACCCAAACAGAAATCCTACCTTTTAACCAAGATCTTTACATCCGGTAGATGAACTCTTCGTTCAGGAACGTTTTTTTAGCCTTGGCTCATTAACTTACAAGAAGAACAAAATTTAGTTTGTATTATTATTTCAGCAATTGCAAAGACCCGAAAGAATTTGGGCAATGCTGCATTTCATAAAGATGATTTTGTCAAGGCCATCTGCTTGTACACAGAGGGAATAGAAGTGAAATGCAAGGATGAGGATCTGAATGCCAAATTGTACAACAACAGGGCATCAGCCCACTATCACCTGGGTAAAGTATCCTTTACGTAAAGACACTGTCTCTATTGGTCCTATTGATGTTGTCGAGGTGAAGTGTTATGGGGCGTGGCCTCTTTTCATATTAAGAGAGTAACAGTGGGAGATCTCAGTCGAGAAACTTAACCCCGCCGCTAAGTGGATAGTGGCGAATCATATTTGATTGCTCGGAAACAACTGAAGTCTGAGTTCCTGGAACCCGTTTGTCTATTTTATGTGCCTTGATATTTTCACTTCAGTTAAGCGACGCATCGACAAAACATAAATTTAAAGCGGAGGCCTTTTCGAGTAAATAGTACTTTACTTTTATGGAAGATTATTCTTTTCAATGTGGGTATAATTTTTTTCAGGGAATTACCAAGATTGTCTGTGTGACGTAAAAGCTGCGACAGCACTACAACCATATTATCTCAAGGCGATTATCAGAGGTGAAATTAAATCTCAGTTGACAATCTGAAGCTTATCTGTCTTTTTCATTTGAAATGATTCGACTTTTTTCACTAGGAGCGAAAGCCTGTTTGAAGTTGAAGCAATTTAAAGAAGCCATCAGCTGGTGTGACAAGGGACTACCCGTATCCTTTCTTTTTTAGCCAGTTCACCAACCTTCGATTTTCTTTTTAGAGATGGTCGAAAGCGCGTACAAAGATAAAACCTGGGGGTGATCATTAAGCCGTAACGCAGTAGACAAATTACTTGTTCGCTGAAATACTCGAAAAAAGAGAAAGCGTGTGTGGTCAGGTTATCTATCTAGAAGAGCAAATACAAAAACCTGACCGCACAATTATTACGTATTTTACTTTTTACTAGGTCAATGTTTTTGTTGTTGTTGTTGTTGTTGTTTTTTCTTTCACCTTTCGGTAAATGAGGTTGCCAAAGCCACTAATACTAGTGTCATAACTGCTACAACTGCCGCCAGCTAATATCTAGGTTTAGAATGTAGCTTACTTCAGTTTGTACACCTTTGCTCTCGTGCGATTGCGGACTCTTGGGAGAAGGGAATCATGTCAGTTTCAGTTTGGATTCGAGTTCGAGTTTGACTTTCGAGATGGAATTCGAGTTGAACTTCGAGTTACGTTTCGAATTGTTTTTAGTGATCAAGGGATCTTTTCGGTGACGAATTTCTAAGTGGAAGTATTTAAGAGAGGAAATTGAGCGATTCTGACCATTAGCTTTAAAACTTAGCAAAACAGAGATGAAGGGATATTTGTTTTTTTTGTTTTTTTAATCGCCTGGTTAGCTCAGTTGGGAGAGCGCCGGTCTGCTTAGCGGGAGATCGCGGGTTCAAACCCCAGCCAGACCAACACTCAGGGTCTTTAAATAACTGAGAAGAACGCGCCTTTGTAATGACATCTGCAAACGGTTAGACCTCGAATAAGGACGAGACATCGCAGGTCCCGTCTCACAGCACTTTCACGTATCTGCGATTCTTTTTGGACGTAAAAGAACCCACACCACTGTCCGAAAAGAGTGGGGGACGTAGAACCCGTTGGTGTGGCCAACCTTTCCTGGACTAGGTGGGTTACCTGTGAGGATAGATCTCAATATAAGGATAACCTCATCATCCTCCTCTAGGTGTCGTAATGGCTACTTGTGAACAATATATATCTTGTATATTTCATCTGACTTCGCAAAGGCTGTACTTGTCGGAAATGCGTTTCAGGTAGGAATCTCACTGTCTCAACCTCGTTTATTTACCGTTGAGGGGTACTCCAATAAATTTCGGATAGGTGTGCGCCACCCAGGGATAATCAAAGGCAGCGCAGGCTGTTTTTGTCCCTCCTTCAAAGCTAACTAGGATAAAAGGAATGTGTACTCACTTTATCAGTTGAAAGAATAAATACCTTATGTTATATAGGTTTTTAATCAGGTTTAAGAACCTATTATCCGTAGCTCAAACACAAGTCCATTGTTGGCGACTTTCTAAAACCTTCTTGTTGAACTTGACCATCCTGAGATTGAAAATTTTAACAAAGCGCTCTTGGAAATAAGGAGGTCATCTGTGAATGTTGAACATAAGCTCCCGGAAAAGCAAAAGGAGATTCCAAAGAAGTCAGAAGCTAACACTGTGAAAGAGCCGGTAAGTGGTTGGTGTACATAACATACGAGCTGGATATGTGATAAACGATAAAGTACAAACATTTCTAAAGGTCAGTACTTGATTCGAAGGGGATCACATCGTACCTGAAAAATTGTTTCTTCTGCTTCCTCTTCAACACCCGCACCCAGTCTCTCATGTCCTGACTCAAACAACTGGATTTTAAAACTACTTACCTCTCTTGACGTGCGCCTACCCTCTTTTCTCCGTTAAGGTTGATTTCCACTGACGCGTTTTTGGCTACGCACGTTCATGCACAAAAATTTGAATCACGTAAATAAAATAGAGGCAAGCTATAAAGTGTTGAGCTTAATTGGAAGTTGAGTGAGGTTGAACTTTTACGGTTACGAGCGACCGTTCATGCATTGCCTCTATTTTTGTATTTGCGAACGGAAATTTTACGCACGTACGCACGTAAAAATTACGCGACAGTGGAAAGCAACCCTCAGAGTGGGCGATGAGGCAAGCGAAAATTTTAAACATGTAAAATAGTAGCATAGATATATCTACCGTAAATGATCTAATAGACGCCGGGGGAGTTAGACAGCAAGACCCTAGGTGAAGATGGATTAACGTGTAGTAAATATATAAAAGTATACGTTTTATGGAGTGCCGTAGCTCTGAAATATAAGTCCCCTGACCAATGGTTTTACTGATTTTTGCGGTGATAGCATCAATGTGATATTTCCAAGTAAGATTTTTATCAACCAACGCACCAAGATATTCAATATAATTTTTGGACTCTAGAGTAACATTCCATTTTTCTCGTCGGAATGTGACTCTTTTTTGCTAAACATGAAATATTACCAAGTTAGTTTTTGTAGTATTGAAAGTTAACTTTTTGGATGTTTACCATTCGCAGAGGGTAGGTAATTCAATCTTTACTGCATTTTCTAAGAACTTTAAGTTTTTATCAGCATAAAGCATATTAGTACCATCTGCGAAGAGATAAAACCTAAGTTTATTCGAGCAATGATGTAAGTCGTTTACATGCAATAAACAAGCGATGGGCCAAGGGAAGATCCTTGGGGAACACCTCAAGTAGCGTTGGCTTTCTTTGATATGTGCGGTCCGATCTGGGTCGGTTGCATACGATTATTGAAATACGAGGAGAACCAGTCTTTATTTATTCCACGAAAGCCATAGTGGCTTAGTTTGTCAAGCAAAATGTTATGATCGACAATATCAAAAGCTTTCTTGAAGTTTATGAAGACTCCACTAGAGAAAAGCCCTTGATTCATATTTGATTTTAGTATATACACACTCAGTGATCTTGTTAATTCAAGAAATCTGATTGGTTAGCTATCTCGGACTATGACGTTATATTCACCGCGCTAGACGGTGAATATAAAGCAGAACATAATCGCGGTCGTGAGCTGGGTGTTTTGCCAAAGTTTCATAGTAAAGCCGTTTTGAAAATACATGAATATCCAAGTGCTGATGACTTCGAACGCAAGAAAAGACTTCATGGTGTTTAAACAGCGTGATTTATTGTGAAGTGGTTTACTGTAGCTGACTTTTTGTATGCTCAAAGCTATGTTTACCACTACAGAGGAAAACGAGGTCGCTTTGTCACTGTTTTGTGATGTCGGGATTTTCTCGCAAGACCAATTTTGTCTATAAATAGAAGATAATTCATGGAGAAAAGAGGAAGGCAAATATTTTGGAAAATTGTACGTGCCAGCAAGTTAAACAGCCAAAGAACTTTGGAGATAAACAACGCTCACCTTGATTGAGCCGCTGTTGACAGCATTTGCAAGAAGCGAGAAAGAAAACTTTTTCATTCACGGTGAGTTAACAGAAACAAATAAAGCTCTACTTTTCTTCTCAGAAAAGTAATTTGGGTAGTAATTTAAATTTTCGGCGTTTTCTTTTAAACCGTTGATGCTAAATCTTACAAAACTCGATACAAAAAGATTAAAATTATCATTTGCCATGTTTGAAGATACTGTAAAGATCTAACTTTTACGCATTGTTTACGGCTTCGTGTTCACGCATGAATTCACCAGTCAATCAAACTAATCGTTTTTTAATGGTTTCCTTTCTGATTCTGTTGAGACCACTTCGTGTGAATATACTAAAACAGTTATTCACCTCAGGCTCAGTTAATATCGTTGAATAATCCCCTCGACTTCGTCTCGGGGATTATACAACAATATTAACTTCGCTTTCGGCGAATAATTGTTAAGTATTGAGTTTAAAATGTCTAGCATTGCATATTGAGTCGAGTGCCTTTACGAAAGTCATACTGGGAGAAATACAATAAGTTATGTTTGTCAATATAATCTTTTATTCTGTGGTACATGATCTTTTCAAAAATTCTAATAAAGTTAGATAATAACGATATAGGTGTGCAGAATATTAGAGTTATTTTGTACAAATTAAGCTTAAAAGGGTATTTTTCTGATGTTACTGAGATATTAAATATTTCTGAGAGAATGGGAGCTATGATACTACTTACACACTTTAATAACTTTATGGGAGATGATCATAGACTATAAGATTTGTTGTTTGGTAAGGAGAGTTTTACTTCGTCGAGCGTAACGGATTGGAATAGAAAAGATGAAGTTGGAGATTTGCATTGAATAACATAGTTTAGATAATATTGTTGTGGAGGTGGAATTGTGCCAGCTAGCTATTTTCCCCAGAAGCAAAAGGTCCATGTAGAATATTAGGAATCTGAGAAGGTTCTTTCACGATTTTGTTGCCGTTATTAGGGTCCTTAAAGAGCAGTTATAAGTTTTTTGATGGTTTCTTTGAAATAAGATATGATTTGATCTGGAGAATTGTAGTGACGATGTATTGTACCACAGATAATGTTTTTGTTATTTACAAAAGATATTTCAATCCACAAAAACAAAACTGAGCATTCTTTTAACTTTCCCTTTCCCCGATGTCTTTAAACGGCGTATTTGTAACTTGAAATGCGAAGGGTTGTGAATGCGTGGCAGCCATTTTGTTGAAAATAGTGTAAAGGTGCTTTATATCAAGGGGTCCTGAGTAAAGATAACAGACGTTTATTCCCCATGCTTACTACACCGATCTGACAACCCCGTGCTCGCTCATCCGGGATTCCTAGTCTACACAATACAGTCCCATATATGGTAACGAGACTACATCCCTCTCCACTTTAGAGAGCATTCCGCACACCGAGGGTAAACAACTATGAATCAAACGAAGAATATGAACATCCCCAAAAGTAAACCTAACTGAATGCGGAATAGAGTAACAGAAAATTCCTTATAGAAGAGTCCACTATAATTCCAGAACATAGTCAGCAAACTTGGTTGGGCGCTCTCGCGCACCCTGGGGGTAGCGTCTCGCGGGCGTACCATTGAGCTGCGACTGTGGGGGTCTTGAAGTCGGGCACGCTCTTAAAGAACGAAAAATTTCTCGTAATAGTTATTTCTTCAACATTTTCTGCAGTGACCAAGACCCTTTGGCCTTGACGACAGTCTGTGGTATCGGGTTATACGGTGTGTCTCCTTTCTTCTTTGTCTAGTCTCTCTTGACCAGTACATCGTCGCCTCCTTTGATAGCCGACGGCTTAATGTACCGCTTGGTCTCCACATGCTTCTTATCGATTTCACAGTTTCCACCACTGGGTACCTGGAGTAGTCGTCAGTAATCAGAAGGAGGCACTCTTTGTTTGGGATGTCAGCAAAGTCAACACTAATTTCTTTCCAAGGCGCTGCTGGGAGTGACATCTGCAAGGGTTCTCTCTTGCACTCAGGGGTGGCAGCTAGGCAGGTTTTGCATGACTTCACCTTGCTTTCTACCAGCTTATCAATGTTCGGGAACCAAACTTTCTCTCGTAACAGTGATTTAGTCTTCACGAGCCCTTGGTAGCCTCCGTGTGCGAGGTTGACTATGTGTTCTTGTAGACTCTTCGGGACGACTATGCGGGTTCCATGTAAAATAAAGATGCCAGACGCGCTTACGGTAAGTTCATCCTTCAACCTCTCGAGAAGGCGAAACTCAACGGCATCGACGCAGGGAAGTCTGATTTCATAGTGCCAACCGCTACGGCTTGCAAAGTTGCGTTATCCTGAGTGGCTGTCTCGTTTTCTTGTGTCTTCAAGGCTTTGGGAGTAGAAGAGGTTACGAGGTAGCTGACGTACTCCTCTGCGACTTTCTGCTGCGGCTCGTTTCAGCCCCATGCTTGGCTGGGTGACGCGTTAGGTAGTCTGCGGGATTAACTTCTCCTCTTCGATACTTGAATGTCATCCGGTACGGGTGAAGTCGTAGAGCCCATTTCTCGATTCTTGCAGGCGGCTTGGAACTCGGATTGCCATAGATAGACGCTAGGGGCTTGTGATCAGTGTAGACTGTCACCGGTTTCCCGTAAATGTACAGGTGTAAATGTTCACAAGCCCAAACTACAGCGAGGGCTTCCAGCTCTGTTTGGCTGTTCGGTTGCTGTAAAAGAGCGACTTGCATAGGTGATAACATGACTTTCCTCGGTTTTCGGGTCCACTTGCGGGAGGATGGCTGCCACGCCAACTGGACTTGCATCAACAGATATCTCTGTAACCTTCTCTGGATCAGAGTAGGCAGTGAAGGCAGCGCTTACAACTGCTTCTTTCAGTTGGCTGACTGCGTGGTCATGTTCTTCTGTCCAACACCACGGTTGGTCCTTGTGGGTGAGCTTGCGCAGAAGCTGTCATGGTAGCGTAGTCAGGGATGAACCTTGAATAGTAGTTTGTCATTCCCAGAAGGCTGCGTAACTCGGATGCTGTTGATGGTGTCTGACGATTGACGACATCTGCAACTTGCTTCGGGTCTGGCGAGATGCTGTCTTTGGAGAACACGTATCCAAAGAATTCCAACCTGTCTTTTCTGAACTTGCACTTGCTCTTGTTCAGGGTCAGACCTTTCTCTCTAAGTCGCTGGAACACGGCCTTCAGGTTATGGTCGTGTTCTTTCCAAAAACTAGTATGTCGTCACTCATGTTGATTGCGCCATCAATACCCTCAAGCGTCTCGCGGATTACATTCTGCAAGAACTCAGCGGCGCTTGAAATGCCAAAGTTGAGACGTTTGTACCTCATGAGACCCATGTGTGTGCTGAAGGTGGTGATGTACCTGGATACAGGTGCCAGTTCAAGCAGATTGTAGCCCTGATTGAGGTCTAGTTGCTGAAACCTCTGGCCCCATTTAAGTCTCCGGTCATCTCTTTCACGGTGGGGGTGACATGACGTTCACGTTTGACTGCCTTATTCGCCTGGCGCATGTCAACGTACCCACGTACCTTGCCTGGAGATTTCGGTTTACGTGCAACCACGATTGGGGACACCCATGGCGTAGGGCCTTCGATACGCTATATCACGCCTAACTCTTCGTCGCGCCGTAGCTGCTCCTCTAGCTGCCTACGAACATGGAGTGGGACTCCTCTGTGCGGCTGCGCGACGGATGATACCTCTTCGTCGATGTGCAACTTTATCTGATAGTTCTTAAGTTTGCCTAGCCCGTGAAACATGTCCTCGTATTTTGCTAATAGACCCGAGGGTGTTTCTGCTTCCAGTTTCGACGGTAGGATTTTGACTTGCTGAACTGTCTGACATAGATTAAGCTCTTGCAAAGTCTTCCAGCTGAGCAGGGAGCCACTGGATCCCTTCACCACATAGAACCTGGCGTGCATCTTCTTCGTCTCCGACTCAAGCTTGGTACTGAATTTTCCAAGGGCGCGAAGGGGAACTGGTAGCCGTAACTTTTCACACTGCTCGGTTCAAGCTTGGGACAATTGTGTAACCTGCGGTATTCCTTTTCATCCAGGATATTTATGCTCGCTCCAGAGTCAGCCATAATCGTTACTGGCATGTCATGTACCTTGATCTTGAAGAGGGGCTAATCCTTCAGGTTCTTAGTGCTCAGAGAGAACGTGTACACTTCACCTTCGTCACTTGTTTCGTCCTCGCGCACTTTGTTCACTGTGGGACGACGTTTGTTTTGACTATTCCCTTTTCCTTTGGACCTGCACACTGCTTTAAAGAGGTTTAACTTGCAACAACCACTGCAAGTGGCTTGATAAGCGGGACAGGACGTTTTCCTCCGGGATGTTGGAAGTCTCCACTGCAATTTCAGCACTTATCACTTGATTTCCGGATCTACAAGTTGGCTATCGAAATAAACGGAGATGGGACGCCAAAGCAGGTACAAACAAAGATGGCGGACGCTCAACTGACAAGCAGTCACGCAACCGGAAGTCACGCGGCGATGGTCACGAGATAATAATAATTTAAACATATTTATACAGGATTGCTGCGTCAGTTTTAAGAGAAAACTGTTATCAATGCAGGTCCTGTAAAAAATTTAAAAGAAAAAAAAGATTAAAGATATGGATATAAACAATTATATAAATTACAATTATATAAAATAGTTACATTAAAAGGAAGATTCGAATAGTTATAAATTCTGAGAATTATTAAAAATTTTTCACCTTTGTAGAAAAAAGCGCGCTTGGTGCATTCTAAGTTAACTTTTTGTAAAATAAGGTCATTATTATTTCTAGTTTTGTGGTGGTGAAGGTCACAGTTTCTTACGTTAAAATAATTACAAAGGTATCTAGGAACTCTATTTGCAATGCACTCATTAACAAATCTTAAAATGTGTGTCCGTCTTCTGTTAGGTTCCAAGCCTAGTTTGGTAATAATTTGATCAGTTGATAGTTTTGAGGAAGCTTTGAAGTAGACGATCCTCTCGTCTTTTATAGTCGTTCAATCTTGTCACTGTTTCCTTGTCCACATTAATGCCACACAGCATCACAATAATCTAGAACCGGGAGGACCAAGGCTTTATAGAGTCTATTTGCAGCTTCTAGCGTAAGTGAAGGTCTTATTCTAGAGAACATTCCGGTTATCTTAGAAAGCTTCCTCCTCACATAGTCCACATGGTCATTGAAGGAAAGGGTGTGCCATCAAGAACAACACCCAGGTACAGTCGTTCTTCAACGTGTAGATCCGGAAGGTGTTTACGGTTTAACTCTCTTCTTTGTTAGCGGCCTGTTTTTGTGACAGCTCCATGGCTTTCCGGCATCTAACAGTTGCGTAAGAAATTACGAGGGGTTCTCGACCGCCTTTGTCGAAGCTTGTGGGAACTACAACTTTGAACAATACGTGTCTTGATCTCGCGGTCGACGTCTGCAAACTCACAGGTTACTGCTAGTTGCCTTAGCCTCTTGTGGAAGGCTGAAATGCTCTCGTTTGACTCTTGCTTAGCCTGACGGAAAACATAAATCTCGTACTCACGGTTCTGTCTGGGAGTGAAGTAATTTGTCAGAGCTTGTAAGGCTTTCGCGAACGTTTCTTCACTCTCGCCCGGTGTGGTATCAGGTAAGGTGTCAAAAGTTTCGTTTGTGGGTTCGCCGGCGTAATGGAGCAACAATGCTCGCTTCCTTTTCTTGTCTGTGACGTTCATCGCGACGACGAGATTGCGGAATCTCGAAAGCCATTCCTTCCATCTAGCAGCTTGTGTGCTGGTATGGGTTACGTCAAACTCCGGGAATGTAGGTAGTGCTGCGGCCATATTTCACGTGTTCTTCGGTTTTGACTATCGTATAGAACCACCCACTTGTTTGTTCCGAGAATCCTGACCGCCAATGTAAAGGTGCTTTATATCAATGCAAGAAGTCCGGAGTAAAGACAACTGACGTTCTTTCTCCATACTTACTACACCTATCTGACAACCTCGTGCTCGCTCATCCGGGATTCCTAATCTACACAATACAATCCCATGTATGGTAATGACACTACAAATAGATACCTTTCACCATTGAGGGTGAAATCGCTTTCGTCTACTATCCCCTAAAAACCACCAAATACATGCTCAGTAGACGGATTACGATAGGTCAACCTATCCTGAAGCCTTGAGAAACACTGGAGGGCAAACACGTTCCAGGGGAGGAGAGGAGGAATTCACGACCGGTTTTGGCTGGTTGGGCTAGAATTTTGGCGCTTTGTTATTGACACAATTAATTGGTAATAAGGGTTCGTGTCATACAATTCAGGGGTAATCAGGCTAGTGATTTCAATTTTGATTTCTGATAAGGGGCTGTATGTTTACATGGAGGGAGGAAGATCCTAGAAGGCGCCATCATCCTGGCGCCATATGCAGTCGATTTACATGCAAAAGGTTTAACTTATCCCTAGGGCTAGGATCTTCCTAGTACTAGGATCTTCTTAGCTGAGAAATAGGAAGATCCTAGTACTAAGGACAAACCAGGCAAAAAATGGTGGCGGGTCGTTCAGTGGCTAACCACGGTAATAAAGACCGACCATTTGGTCTTGCGTTACGACGAGCTGATTTTGGTTATAATTCTGTATAGAGGTAGCTAAAACGAAAACTCTTTTAAATTTACATCTAGATACTTTTTTTCGGTGAGGATAGAAAAAAAGGAAACAGACGCATAAAGCTTCATTTATAAGCGGTATTCAGGGCACAAATTATGGAAAAGAAGTAGCACACTGCAAAACTCTTGACTGGCAATGAATAAAAACATTAATAACAATTCAATAGAACAAGAAAGGCAGGTAGTAGTTTCCTGGTGATTTTTTATTTTCAGCCGGCTTCGTTCGCGTTAATTACACTGGACGAAAAAACGGATTTACTAATGTTTGCGAAAGGTGCAAATATGTGGTAAATTTGGAGCTCCAAATTTGCATTACATTTGCGCTGTCAGCTAAAGTGTGGGCAAATACATATATTTGCTAGATAGGTATTGATACGCAAAAGTCAAGTAAATGTAATGGTTTGATACAATTATGATACATATTTGCAGCATGGGCAAATCTTCAACATTTCCACCAATTTACTCAAAAGCTCTCAAATTTACATCCTTTGCAAAAATGACAGTTTTCACTGTACTTCAAATGCAGGCAAAAATATTGTAAAACCCCTAATTTGCACTGGTGTTTGCTCTTGTTTTTCCAGGATACCAAAAGAACACTTTTGCATGTGGTTTACTCGTATTTGCCTTGAGAGCAAAAACAATAAATTTCTACACATTTGGCTGTATCATAAATTTGAACATTTGTATTATAATTATCCATATTTGCAGAGGGAGCAAATATAGTGAACTGCATAACATTTGCTGACAGTCAAAGGTGATGTGCATGTGACATTTCCTATATGTTTGATTCGTTTTGTGACTAAAGTAAATTTCCAATCTCAACTGTAACATTACATTGTTACAATAAAATTTTGTACACGCTGTGAGACTCTGCCCAGAGGTCCAACCCCCTACATGCATCTTTCCTGTTAACTGTTTTATATGCACTGTCATTTTAATATAAAGTAATCAGAAACCAGCTACTTTTTTTGACAATTTTACAGTCACAAATTTCTTCTGTTAGTCTTTTTACAGAACGAATCAAATTTGGTCCAAAATAAAAAGTTTTGTGGATTTCAAACTCAGGGTTGTGATTATTCACTTGTACACAATTTCCTCATGGTCATTTAACCAACAAACTTAATTCAAATTAAAACCAACAATTTAACTTTAACCGGTATTTGTTGTAGTTTTGACTGCCCACCTAGAGATGACCGCATCTCGATGGTAGGCTTCCTAAAAATGACCACATTTTGAAAACCCAACAGCCAATACTACAACAAAATATGGTGAAACTGCTCACAATTTTATTTGAACATTAACTCAGCCAACAAATTTATGAAAGGCTAATTTTTCTTACTCTGTTGTTTGCAACCCTGAGTTTGGGTTTCACTGATTTTTTTGTTGATTTTGACTTTTACTGTTCATTAAGTACTACCCATTCAATCCAAAAAAGTCATAACATTTTTGCTGGCTAAAATTCACCTGAATCCTGGTTATTTGATCTTGGGATACAAGGAGCGGGGTTGTGGCTTCCCAAAAAAATTCTGATGAAGAGAGGGTCTTCATATACAGGAGCTATCGGTCAAATCCCACCCGACAAAGCCTCCCCCCCCCTCCCCATAAAAAATGAACAGACCCCTATTGGGTTACAGGAGCTCTGAGTTGGCCTTGGATCATGAAAAGTTTAAAGCTATAAAGAAAAAACTAAGGCGGTGAAACAAATTAACATGCAGCATTTATCCTTCCAGGCTTGGCTGTTCAAAGCTGGGTTAAGATAACCCAAGGTTCGTACGAAATATGAACTCAGATATGAAAGTTTCAAAAACAAATTGATTTGAATTCCTTTTGTCTACAATTTGGTGACTGGATACGTAAAAAAGAAAAGAACAAATTATCTGACAAAATGCTTTTGATTAAAAGGAAAAAAAAAAAACGCGGGTTAAAATCTAACCCTGGGTCAGTGCTAATCGGTCTTTGGAACAACTGGGCCCCGGTCTTTTTTAGGGTCCAATAATTCTAAATCACATAACCACTTTGAAGTGAGTCAATGATACACAACCTGGGAATGTGTTGCATTCCTCTTCCGTCATTTGATAATAATAAAGCCTAGGGTCGTACAACCGGCAAGGATGTCCGAGTACTAAAACTAGAAATTCAAAATCATACAGTAACTGTTCTATACCGTACAGATCGAGGGCCCACACTACCTCCCCTTTATTATACAAGTAAATACACTACAACAAATCTACTGGACAAAGGTCCAGTAGTCAGATCATTTACTGTATTTTTTGTACATCATACTAAAAAATCAAATTTGGTCCAAAATAAAAAGTTTTGTGGATTTCAAACTCAGGGTTGTGATTATTCACTTGGACACAATTTCCTCATGGTCATTTAACCAACAAACTTAATTCAAATTAAAACCAACAATTTAACTTTAACCGGTATTTGTTGTAGTTTTGACTGCCCACCTAGAGATGACCGCATCTCGATGGTAGGCTTCCTAAAAATGACCACATTTTGAAAACCCAACAGCCAATACTACAACAAAATATGGTGAAACTGCTCACAATTTTATTTGAACATTAACTCAGCCAACAAATTTATGAAAGGCTAATTTTTCTTACTCTGTTGTTTGCAACCCTGAGTTTGAGTTTCACTGATTTTAATGTTGATTTTGACTTTTACTGTTCATTAAGTACTACCCATTCAATCCAAAAAAGTCATAGCATTTTTGCTGACTAAAATTCTTCTGAATCCTGGTTATTTGATCTTGGGATACAAGGAGCGGGGTTGTGGCTTCCCCAAAAAAATTCTGATGAAGACAGGGTCTTCATATACAGGAGCTATCGGTCAAATCCCACCCGACAAAGCATCCCCCCGCCCCCCATAAAAAATGAACAGACCACTACTGGGTTACAGGAGCTCTGAGTTGGCCTTGGATCATGAAAAGTTTAAAGCTATAAAGAAAAAACTAAGGCGGTGAAACAAATTAACATGCAGCATTTATCCTTCCAGGCTGGGTTGTTCAAAGCTGGGTTAAGATAACCCAAGGTTAGTACGAAATATAAATTCAGATATAAAAGTTTTAAAAACAAATTCATTTGAATAATTCCTTTTGCGTACAATTTGGTGATTTGATACTTAAAAAAGAAAAGAGAAAATTATCTGACAAAATGCTTTTGATTAAAAGAAAAAAGAAACGCGGGGTTAAAATCTAACCCTGGGTTAGTGCTAATCGGTCTTTGGAACAACTGGGCCCCGGTCTTTTTTTCGGTCCAATTCTAAATCACATAACCACTTCGAAGTGAGTCAATGGTACATAACCTGGGCATGTGTTGCATTCCTCTTCTGTCATTTGATAATAGTAAAGCCTAGGGTCGCACAATGGGCAGGGATCTCCAATTACTAAAACTAAAAATTCAAAATGACACAGTAACTGTTGTATATAGTTACAGAGGGCCCACACTACCTCCCCTTTACATAAAGTAAATACACCACAACAAATCTACTGGACAAAGGTCCAGTAGTCAGATCATTAATTTACTGTATTTTTTCTACATCATAATATTATTATTAAAAAGCTAACAATAACAAGGCCACCCACAGTACCTTAAATTTGGTCCAAAAAAAAAAGTTCTGTGCATTTCAAAGTCAGGGTTGAGATTATTCACTTGTACACAATTTCCTCATGGCCATTTATTCAAGAAACTTCACATCAAAACTGACAATTTTGTTCTTACCGCTATCTTGATGGTGAGCCTCCTAAAAATAACCACATTTTGAAAGCCCAACAGCCAATACTACAACAAATGGTGAAATTGCTTTGTATTTCATATATTTTGTGAATAGAAACTCAGCACAGACATGAACGAATAATTTCTTTGCTGCTCTTTACAACCCTGATTTTGAGTTCAATATGATTTGTCTTTTTAAACTGCTCAAACAGACTGGCGAGATTTATATCAGTCTTCACTCAACAACATTAACATGGTGCATTTCTTCACGTAAACCTAAACTTCTTAGACCAACGGGGTTTACACCTTCAATATTTTTATACCCTTTTCACTAAATGAGTCGAATTTTCATAGATTTATTTAGTATAGGAATTCACACAGTAAGATAACTTTTTGATTTTCCTTTTTAAATAGGAATACGATATTCTATAATTGCTTGACAGAAAAAAGGTTCCAGT